AGAGACCTAGACCTAGACCTAGACCCGGAGGTGGAGCTGGACCTAGACATAAACATGCACACCTTGCAAACACACATATACAAAGGCACATTCGCAAGAACGAACACACATACTCAGAGACGTACTCATACACATACACAAACACATACATATGCATATGCATACATGTACACAGATACAGAGATACGGATACCCACACATATACATGCACATATACATATACATGTGCATGTGCATATGCATGTACATGTACATCTACACATAGATATACACATACATAACCTTATATGTGTCTGTGTCTTGTTGAACACCTACGTTCTTTGTCGGCTCTATCTGTTCGCTTACGCAAGTGCTCAATCGGTACGGGAATTCCGCCGGGGCCTTTGACGTTCAGGGGAAGGCGAAGTTTGAAGTTCAGGGCTCCTTCTTTAGAGTTGGGAACTAACGAAACTCTAAAGGCTGAATCCCTGAACGCTAAATCCTGCAAAATGCCATGCAAACTTGCATGACACACTGCGAAACCCTCTCAAGATGTGCTTCCCGGATTCTCGGGCCGAGGGGAACCTATACCCCTAAACCATGAAACCCAAAAACTGGGGCCCTTAATTTCTAAACCCAAAAGGGGGGCCTTAATTTTTGGCACAGCGTTTTGGTGTGTTCTCATACAAACAGAATAAGGAAAAATAATGAAGAGCATGAGTTTGTATTCCAACCCCTATAGCAACCCTAAACCAAACTAGACACCAAGCCTCATGACACTCAGCAGTGTCAGCAGCTGTGGCAGATCTGAGACAACCCTTCCCCAAAGTCCTGGGAACAGTTCTAAACCTCGAACCCTGGACAGTTTAGGGTTTAGCGAAACAGTTCTAGACCCGAAGCCCTAACACCCTAAGCCCTAAACCCTTAAACCCTTAAACCTCTTAGGGGAGGAGTACCCAATCCCAACAAAGGCTAACCTTTTGAACTATAGTAGCATTCTAAAAGGCCCGAAAAGTTAAAGGTTACCTACTCAGCCCTAAAGCCCTAAAGCCCTAAACCCTAAACCTCAAACTCTCAAACCCTTAAACCCCAAACGCCTAAACCCCAAAAGCCCTAAACCCTAAACCTCCAAACCCTCAACCCCCCAAACTCTAAACCCCTCGACCCCTAGACCCGGAACTCCACGGAGGCCAGAAGCAGACGAGCAGCCAGCCGCACTGCCTCTGCAAGGGTTTCGGGGTTTCGGGTTTGGGGTTTGGGGTTTAGGCTTTTTGGTTTAGGGTTTAGGGTTCGGGGTTTCGGTTTTTGGGTTTTGCAGGAAAGCCGGGAATCGAAGCGGGAACCGGAATCGAAGCGCAAGGAAACGAACCGCAAGGAACCACCAGGATACCGGACCCCACCAATCGAACCGCAATAAAGGACGCGTGGAACCGAACCAGCAGGCCGAAACGAAACGTAACGAAACGTCCGCAGCAACAGTGGCCGCTGGCGGCAGCCACCGAAACATCAGAAGCAGCAGTGGCCGAAGCATGCTGGGGCAGCCTCCCTATAGGCCGCTGTCACAAGGGAAATCGGCTACAATACATGATCCGGGATCCACAGACCCAGCATGGCTGATTGGGGAGTTATTTCTGGCGAATAACGTACCGTTTTGGGCTCGTCCAGGCCTCTCCCTCCTTCACGGATTGGCACTCATGGGATTAAGGGACATTGCATGTAGGGGTGACTGCAACTGAATCTACCGACAAGCCCTATCACCTACTACAGCTCTACTTACTAAGTCCACTGATTATTGAGTACCTGTTTCATTCGGACCTGTAGATCCTCACCGAACGCTGCAACGAGCAAGCCCAGCTCATATTGAGCCCCCTTCTTAGGGTTTAGGGCTTAGGGTTTGGGGACCCTGGCACCAATGCCCCATGCGCGAAAACAACAATCCCTGAATATAGATCCCTTTGATACGGCTGATGGACAAAATCCTGCATGACCTTATACACCTAAACTATGGGGTTTTATGGTACTATACTATATTTGGATCATACAGGATTCAACAGTATTTTCTAAACTCCAAAACCCATAACGCTTGTTTGGTATAGGGGCCTCAGCAGTCGGAACATGGTTTTGTGGTCTATGATCCTAGATTTACCTACAAAGGGATCCTATGGGAATACTGTTACTATGAATGATTGTTCAGGCCCCTGTAGTTCCTTCCAAGGTCCCCTTACCCACTGCTAATACCCTAAATCCGGGTTAGGGTTTCGGGGTTTAGGGATTACTTGGAGGATCATGGGACTTAGTAAGTCAGGTTATAAGTACCCTGATTGGGGTTATAATTATAGTTACCTCATTTATAACCCTGGTTACTAAGTCCCATGATCCTCCAAGTAGGCTCCTAAACGTTAGACATCAGCTTGGTGCCTTGTGCACCGTGCAGAGGGGCTCAGCGAGTACTGCCAGCTGCCATGGGACGTTCGACGGCCTTTAGAGCTTCGGGTAACATCTAAAGGGTTGCCTAAGGGCTTAGTATAGAATGAAGTCGAGTTTGCAGCATTCTGATTTCTGACAAGCTATTGAGGAAATGCATTGCGCAGAGCAAATCCAATGGATTGTGGGGTCATTTGGCGCCTTAATATTTTCAACAAACTGCTGAAATGCATTATACTGTAACTTTGTAGGGACTATACAGGATATCATATTCCGAATTTGGCAGGCTTCCATAGTACATGGCTATTGGGGTTCGGGTTGAAAAGGGCTTCGGGCAGAGGACAAAGGAGGGTGTGGAAATTTGGGTCATCCTGGCTTTAGAGTCTCTTTAAAGGAACCCTTAAAGGGAACCCTATCTAAATTCTTACGGCCCCTACATTACAGCATTTGGGGATTTGGGGCTCAAGTTGGAGGTTGCTTCGGGTTTAGGGTTGAGGGTTCAGGGTTTAGGGTTTATGGTTCCGAGGCTCAGGATAATGCCGGTGCCTTAATAATGAGAATGGGGCTCTATAGGCTTCGTTTGAGGGCTCCTTTAGAGGATTCTATAAGGGTTACTATCAGGGTTTAGTCTAAGGTCCTTAATAGTGTTAATGGGGCTCTATATTCGTTGAAAGGGTTCTATACGGTTTTTAGCGTAGGGGCCTTAAGATAACTAGAATAGTGTTGTGGGGCCTGTTGTACTGTACGTCTAATGAGAGCCCCAGAATAGGATTGGTAATTACCCTCACAGCGCCATGATCTTAGATGCCTGTTACGGGAACAACCCCTTACAAATCAACATTTGTTTTCATTGGCATGAACCGGGCGATTAACATGAACGGTCAAAAACGACTCAAAACCCTAACCCCAACCCCGAAACCCTCACCTGAACCCTCGACCCCAAACCCAAGCCCTATACCCTCCCCAAACCCCAGGCCCAAAAACCGCTAAGGCAACCCCAAACCCTGAAACACTAGGGGGCCTCGTATGGTGACCCCAACCCGACAGCCTCTACAGGACGGCGACCCGTCTCTCCACGCTCCGTTAGCGCGACTCCACGTGAAGCCAGCATTGCATGGATGGCTTGACAATGCTGCAGGGCCCGCGCAATGGGGGTTTGAGGCGTGTCGTGAGGGCTACAATCCGCCCGCCCGCTTCCGTCAGCGATATCTGCCTCATCTTTCCAGGGGTGTCTGCTGGCTTCAGCCCACCGCGGAGGCATGGTAGGAGCTTTGCTGCTGCCAGCCTTCCGCGGCCCGTGAGACGGCCGATGCCGACTTCGTTGGAGCAGGAAGCCACCGCACACACCGGCCAACAGTGACGTGATGCGAAACAAAAGGAGGGAGTACTCGTACTAGTACTAGTACTAGTACTAGTACTACTACTAGTACTAGTAGTAGTAGTAGTAGTAGTAGTAGTAGTAGTAGTAGTAGCAATAATAATAATAATAGTAATAATAGTAATAATAGTAATACATTGTAATAACAATAGTGATAATAGTAGGAAGAACAGCAGCAACCCAAGGCCCCAAACGAGAACCCCGAAGCCTCACCGGAACCTTGCGAAAGTTGGAGACCCTGAGCTTGAATGATGTAGGAGACCTTAATAGATTAGACCAGGGCTCTTTTGGGGGTTCCTTTAAAGGGTTCCTTTAAAGGGTTCTATAAGGGCTACTATAAGGGTTTAGGGTATAGAGGCCTTGATAGATTAGACTAGGGTTCTTTTGGGGGTTCCTTTAAGGGGCTCTATAAGGGCCACTATAAGGGTTTAGGGTGTAGAGGCCTTAATAAAATTAGACCAGGGCTCTTTGGGGGTTTCTTCAAAGGGTTCCTTTAAGGGGGTTCTATAAGGGCCACTATAAGGGTTTAGGGTATAGGGGCCTTGATAAATTAGAATAGGGTTTTCGGGTCTACCATACTACAATTCATACTGAGGAACCACCCACATAATATAGGTAATTGTTAAGGCCCCTATAGTACACTAGTAGAGGGGCCTTCATTGTTAGAACAGTGCTCTTGGGATATGTTTTGGTGCGAATATGAAACGGAACCCTCAGGATATGATACGGAACCCTAAGGAAGGAATACTATTAGTAGCTATTCCAACCCCTATATTAAGCCTCCAAGCCAGAAAAAGCTTTGCTTCATGAGAGGAGCACAGTGCACTGAGCCCAGCATGGCAAGGTCGGCAACAAAACAGAAAAACGCCTGTTCAATTACAGAGCCCTTGAGGGAACCCTGAAATATCAAAGGAGCGCCTTGAAACCCTGTCAACCCCTGTAATGAAGGCCTTTAAAAAACCCACGAGACCCGCTTCTCGAACCCCATAGCGGCCAAAAACCGTGAGCCTGAAAAGGCAGCCCTCAACCTTTTTGCCATGCCGAGCGACGGATCCGGAGCTACGTTGGCCCGGTGAAACTCCTCCTGCGCTCGGGGAAGACAGTCGAATGTTTAGGTCAGATAGGGCTTTGTGAGGCTTTGTAGGGAGATTACGGTATCGGGTTTTCGACGGTTTAGTCGGGATCTACAGGGCTCTGTAGGGTGGTCACGGGGTGTTCTAGGGTGTTATGGGGATGCGTAGGGTTTCGTCCGGTTTCTTGAGAGGAACTCAGAGTGGTTGAACAAAGATGTTTCGTGTTTTTGCGTTGCATTGTTTAAGGATTCATGGCATAGAGTTTGATGGCTGAGCATGTGAGGTTGCGCATCAGTGTGCATATAGAACTTCACCCTAAATCCTACGTGCACACGACGCAACACAACTAAACCCACTCATCCCAAACCAGGCACCCAACACCCACCGAAGTTTGCACGTTTCGAGCTCAGGGTTCAACATTTAGACGAAGGGCATCAGGGGCATGATTCAGGTTCAGGTTTAAGTCTACAGACTTGGGGTATCCAGTTTATGATTCAGGATGAAGGTCAGCATGTAGATCCTGAATCCTCAACCCTAGAGCCTCAATCCTAAGACCCAAAAAGCCCCAAGAGCCCCAAAACCCGACACCATCCTGCACCCTCAACCACTGTCCGGTTTACGGCTCGGTCAGCTTTACGGTTTTAGGGTTTAGGGTTTAGGGTTCAGAGCTTGTCCTCCACCCACTTGGCTTGAAAACACATCACCCGGCCAGATGACTCACGCAGCTCCTCGTCGCCCGTGCAAAGATTACAGGGAGCCTAATACCGCTTGATTGCGGCACACTCCTTCCATCATAATAGTGAGACATGCATAGTTCAAGGAGCATGCCTCGATCACGGGTGGGTTTTGGTGCTCTCTGGGTATGTCCAATGGAGACCTCTGGCCAGTAAACCAGCTTCACTTGAGCAGGATTACACTGCAGATCTGACCATTGTGGTCAGGGGTCTGCACTATGCCCTTTAGTGCTGGCAATACTGTTGTTCTGCTGATGATGACGATGATGATGATGGTGATGATGATGATGATGATGATGATGGTGATGACGATGGTGATGACAATGACACTAGTGACGACGATACTGGCAATGACGCCGAGGATGATGATGAGTGATGACGACGACGACGACGACGACGACGACGACGACGATGGTGATGCCGACGATGATGATGATGATGCTGATGATGATGATGATGATGATGATGGTGGTGGTGGTGGTTTGCTGGCACACAAACGAAACGTAAATATATACATGTACACATATACATGTACACATACATATGCATTAGATAGATAGATAGATAGATAGATAGATAAATCGATAGATAGATAGCTAAATAGATAGGTAGGTAGATAGATAGATAGACAGATAGGTAGATAATATAGGGGCCTGAATAATTAGAATAGGGTTTTGGGGCCCATTATACTATAATTATAAGAAGGAACCCCCCAAAATAGTATTGGTAATTATTTAGGCCTCTACGTTAGATAAATAGACAGATAGATAGACAGATAGGTAGATAGATAGATAGATAGACAGATAAATAGGTACAGTAGTTAACTAGATACATAGATAGATAGACAGATAGATAGACAGACAGACAGATAGATAGATAGATAGAGAGAGTGAGAGGTATATATATATATATGTGTGGGTGTGTACATGTATGTATGTATGCATATATGTATGTACAAATATCACCCCACCAGACAACCTAGCTACTGCAGTGGCGAAGACTTCGATGGAGTAGAACCCAGAAACGCAACACCTTGCAGCCACGATCTGTGATCTTAGCCAAACCAGAATCCTTCAACTCCTGCAACCGCAGAAGCTGATGCAAGCCCCTGAAATTCTGGATCATACCTGCTTGAAAAAACACTCCAATCAAAAAGGGTGAAGTTGTTCCGGGTTTAGGGATGACGTTCCTGGACTGTCACCGGTGACTCTGCTGCACTCCACTTCTTCTCCCATTTATGATTGCTGTGCACCACGACAAGCTCGGAGTAGCCTCAGCTTGTGCAGGGCATAGGGTTCCTTTCAGGGTACTTTAAAGAATACGAGACGGTTTAAAGGTTCCGTGCAAAGGAGCTCTACTATGGTTTCTGTAGGGGTCACTGTGGGCGAAGGTTGAATATAGGGCCTTGACAATTAGACTAGGGCTTTGGGGGGCAACCAAATTAAACAGAGGCTATCAAGGACTAAGATTCCTTGTTATCAAGGCTCCTCTGTGACAGCTTTGCACGTTTCGGTGCTGGGCGCGTTACTATACGTAAAAGTTTTGTGTAAGCCCATTTAGGGTACTTACAACCCTGCTTAAAATCAATTGCGATCCTCCTCGTAACACGACTAACCAATTCGCGTCTGGCACTTCAAAGGCTAAGAGTTGCGCAACTACTTGGAGGATTGTGGGACTTAGTAAGTAAGGCTATAAGTACCCTAATTGGGGTTATACTTATAGTTACCTTATTGTATATAACCCTAGTTACTAAGTCCCATGATCCTCCAAGTAAGAGTTGCGCAACTAGGCAGCACTTAAAGACGGCGATCCTAGGCCTGTTACCGAAAGAAGGCGCGAAAAAGCACCACCCAGCAGATCAAACACCGGTTTTAGTTCCGACACATATTTTATTATATATTATATTATATTATATTATATTATATTATATTATATTATATTATATTATATTATATTATATTGTATAGTATATTATACAGTATCAGAAACCGAGGAACTTAAGAGCATCCCGCAACCTTCGCAGTCTTCGCAGGTGACTCTGCCACTTTGCTTGCACTTCTGGCAATGCTTCCAGCCCTTGCTGTCGCAAGGTTTGCACCAGTACCAGCCGGAGTTCTTGCAGACGCCGCACTCTTCCTCTTCCTCAGCGTCGCTCGAGCTTGAGCTAGAGGAGTTGTCCTTCCCATGCCCCTTGGAACTATCCTTCCCACTGCCCTTCCTCAGCTGAATGTGGAGAAAAGAGCGACAACAAAAAAAGAGGCCCCTACCCACGACCACTCAATGGAAGGGAATCAAAGCTTTCCAGGAACAGAAGAGCTTCTCTGCCCCTTTCGAGCCGTCCATGGAGCCCCTACCCTTGCCTTTATCCTCGTAGTCGGTGCCGCCTTTTCCGTGGCCCTTGTCATCATCGTGCCCCTTGGAGCTATCCTTGCCACCGCCCTTTTCGTCATGTCCTTTGGAACTGTTCTTCCCTGCGCCTTTCCTTAGATGCCAAGACTTGGGACATAATAGATTCACTAGATCACACAGAACAAGGATTCATCTCGATGTAGCGACCGTGTCACTGGAACGAACAGAAGAAACTGATCCAACCCTAAACCCTAAACCCTAAACCCTAAACCCTAATCCCTAAACCCAAAACCCTAAACCCTAAACCCTAAATCGCAACAGCAAAGCTTCTCCATGGAGCCCCTACCCTTGCCGGAGTCTTCATAGCCACTTTTGCCTTTTCCATCCCCCTTGTCGTCATAACCTTTGTAGGTGTCTTTTCCTTTGCCTTTCCTTAAACTGCTGAGGCATGGAACGCAAACGAGAACCCCCATAAACTGTGAGAGACCCTCTATTGAACCTTATAGAAACCACAAAACAAACAGAGCCATTATGGAAGTTTTACGTTCGAACCTCAACAAGGTCCAATCCAGAAGAGCTTCTCTGCCCCTTTCGAGCCGTCCATGGAGCCCCTACCCTTGCCTTTATCCTCGTAGTCGGTGCCGCCTTTTCCGTAGCCCTTGTCATCATCGTGCCCCTTGGAGCTATCCTTGCCACCGCCCTTTTCGTCATGTCCTTTGGAACTGTTCTTCCCTGCGCCTTTCCTTAGATGCTCATGTCTTGGAAGCTCCATAAAGCTGTAGTTCTTAACAGCACCTTAACCCCCAAACCCTAAACCCCCCCTCTTTTTACGGAGTACCGTTAAAGGACCAACACTCGCCCGCAGCAAAAAGGCATCTCTGCGCCCTGAGAGTTCCTTCATGCGCATACACTATATGCATATAATATCATACCATTATATAGCATATAGCATTATGTTACAGTATAGTATACCCTAAACCCTAAACCCTAAACCCTAAACCCCACCCTAAACCCATACCCCCAAACCCTACTCTAATTATTGAGGCCCCTACTTTCAGACCGTCTGGGACCGTGCAAGTCTTGAGCCCTACTC